TCCAAAACATTTAATATCCAATTATCAAATTTATCTAAGATTTAAGAATTTCTACTAGATTCTAAACGTTTTTCCCTGTCCTAAGTAAATTATTAGTACTGTAAAAATCAGAGTCATTTATGACCCTTTCAAATTGGCTTTGGTCACCCCAGAACGACCCCCTCTCAATAAAATAGGGCTTAGGTGTAGTGCATAGTAAAAACCGACCACAAAAAATTTATTGAAATTGTCAATTCTTCTTACTGAAGAATACTGAAGTGCGGTGCAATGTTCCAAGCGTGAATATAAACCCGACTTAGCCAAAGAAAGCAGACATTTCTGTGATGTACCAATCAGGTAGAAGAACGAAATTAGACATGCGCACTTCTTCACGGGAGTAACCAATGAATGACGAACGTATTCCCCATTCTAGTACATACTGCACCGCACGACCTCCATCCATTCCATGGCTATCCTCAACCACTATTCCCTTCAACCACTGCAAGAAGTCATCTACAAATCCTATACTCGCCATTGGATTCCAACTTCTGAGGGCTGATTGAATCACGAGTGGACAAGACAAATTCGGATTCTTCACTTGGCGCGGGATCTCGCTCTGCCTGATCCGACACACTTGCTTCAACTTCGGGCCATCCCGGATGCCGTATATGACCTGTTTCATGTTCGCGGCATACATATGATACCACCAATTACGGAGCTTGTACATTGAGAACTTCCATTCATCTTGGCCCGTGTAAAAGTCGGGGCAAAGCTTGCACTCCACGTACTCGTCCTATTGGTTAGAAATGATTTCATATAACTATCAATAACATAACTTAGACTAGCCTGTGACCGGCTTAGTTGAAAGTGGTTTATTTGATATGGGGGTCGGGGGGGTCGGGGGGTCGGCTTTTTCGCTGTTTTCGGCGGAGTTGAGGGAATTAACTGGAAAACATAGCAAATCTCTCAATACGGTCTTCGCCCTTTGTCTGCTTGCCTGGAAATGCAATATTGGCTAACATTGAGAGCAGTAGAAAAGGGAGGGTTGTCAAAGAATCAGATTGCAAAGTGTGGAAGTGATCAAGAAAAGAGTCTAAATGATCTAATAAAGCAAGGATTTTAGGGAAATTGGTCTTCGTGGTCCCCCGAAGTACCCCCAAAGATTTTCCGAACTCTGCCGCGACGAGCTGTCGAAACCGGGCCAAATGGTCGCCGAAAAWGCGAGTGAAAGTGACACTGGACGTACTTTAATYAAGCTTAACTATATGTTTTATTCTAACAGGGAATTCAATCGTATAAAAAGCTTTTGTCATCATATATAACGCTTACATTTTCAGCAAAATCAACTTGAGCTCTGGTTAGCACAAGATGGCGGCCACCAAATTTGCCTCTTCTAACACTATAGAATCCTTGTCTTCCGTCGACTTTTCGATCAGCCGGCTTGCCTTGCGATTTACCGGGCTCTAGCTTTGATATCAACTCTTCAAACTTTAATCCCATGAAACTAATCATCTTCAACTCTTCATCTCGGTTTTGACAGCCTAGTTTAGGTTCTTGTGGGGGTCCTACCGTCTCAGTAAAGTCCTTCACGCTACTGATGTAGATTGTACCGTTGTACTTGATAGCGTACATTTTCCATGGCTGTTTATAGTTTCCATCAGTGTCAAACAGAGTTGCAAGAAGCCTTCTCATTGCTCCTACTGTGAAAACAAACTCTGCATCCAATCTAAAAAAATCAGTTACATAATACATTAATATTTATTATCTAGAGATCTTATTCCATTGAATAAAGTATCGTGATGTCGAATTTTTTTTGGAATTTTACTTAATAAATGATAATTATTCATTCGTCTCATGCTTGAGAGTCATTTGAAGAGGACCACGACGTTTGGACTGCAAACTGCTAGTCTTCAACAGGCGATGGTGTAAACTGGATGGTGCAGTGTCTCTTATATATAACGCTCTGACCATCTGCGTCGTGATTGGATGGTCGGTTCTTATGCTTTTGTGAATATTGAATGGGTAGAACTGTGGTGAAATAATGATAGATGTGTTGATCATCACAGTGAATGAGCGATCTAAGCGAACGCTGTAAAGAAAGACTTGAAAAAATGATTTCAAGCTTCAACGGGGATCGAACCCATGACCTTCGCGATAAGTGTGAATATTGAATGGGTAGAACTTTGGTGAAATAATGATAGATGTGTTGATCATCACATTCAATATTCACACTTATTGCATAAAGTGGCTTGATGAACCCAACAAAAATGACCGCTCGCCAACAAGATTGGCTTCATAGCAGTTGGTAGAGCATCGCACCGGCATCGCGGAGGTCATGGGTTCGATTCTCGTTGAAGCTTGAAATCATTTTTTCAAGCCTTTCTTTACAGCATTCGCTTAGATCTCTCATTCACTTTGATGATCAACACATCTATCATCTCTTATGCTTCAACGCTCATAGGCTATTCAAACCGTTTGACTTTTGGAATGAAAACGTCTGCATTACAACAGCGGACGAAGGAACACGGACACAAGATAAGTAAACAAGTATAACGTTAATTTAATTCAAATAATCGAAAGGGAAAAAAACCTATAGAAATCCAACCACATTCGGTGTCCTAGTGCCTTGGTCAAATCAACGCAAAATTCACCGAAAATTGTTCTAAAACCTGTAAAACCCACGAAGAGAAGTAGAATAGCCAGCAAACTCTCAGAATATTTTTTAGTACGAATTAACACATATTATATCTGAAAACCAGGCCATTTTAGATTAAACTGTTTCGCTAGGAGCAAATTTTGTTGAATTTTCTATTGGATTTGGCGATTAAAGCAGTGCATAAACAAGCAATGACGTCATAGTGAACTAGGGCAATATCTCCTATGAAACAATCTGTGCGGAGACTAGATAAATTTTTATTTTTACTTCAATAAATATGTGTATAGATTTAAGAAAAAAAGAAAGCAGTGGATCTCTGAAAATATATTTGGCGTAATAGTGATTATTTTTATTCGTAATAACAGAAAACGCGCTGTCAGCGAAAGTGTTCCCACTCTGATCGACTTCGGCCGTTTCTATTATGGCTATTTAAAATAACTTACCGTTTCCCTGGACCACTGCTAGTTTTTGATATTGTATTTTTGTTTAAAACAATCCAATACAGCAAGGAATCAAGCGGTCGACCATCTTTCTCCGATGGATCGAAACCAGCTGTCAGATCACTGCCGTATTTGCTATTGTAGTTAGGAATCAAACTACGCAGTTCTCTTTCGTCGTTGTTGTAGAAGTTCCCTTGAGCATCGATCGAATATGATCCTCTTGGATCAGACCACGAAAAATCGTTCTTCAATTTATTTTGAACGTAGCTTTCAGGCCGTTTTACAAAGTATTTTTGGTCGTGATTCCCCGCAGCCATCGTATTTCCGGTTACTTAAAACAAGAGTTCTAGCAACTAAATATTTCCCAGAACAACTCAAGCTATGATTCTTGAAACTGAAACTGAAACTGAAACTGATTCTACGAAACTACGTAGCTGAGACTACGAAAAGTTCTCATGCGCTTTACGCCAATCTTTGCAAAAAATGCCTTCTGTCAAGGGATGATATAGCTAGGGTATGGAAAATTACGATCCAAAAGAAGACGTTTATCGCAAGCATAAGTCCTACCGTGGTTAGTTATTCTATTTTTTTCTTTAGTTATGAATAAAAAAACCGGAGTCGACCATCTCCCAGACACGAATGCTGAAGCGCCGTATCAGGTAGGTATGGTATGGTTTAGGAATGATTAAATGGCCGGCTATCGGTCACTTACTATTTTCATAATGCTGGGTTTCACTACACTTAATTTCCTGTCTAGTGGAGAATGTTAATGAGCTGAATAAATGGTTGAAAGCACATGGTGGTCAGTGTTTGACCACCATTTGGAGCAGATAATGATAAATCAAGCAATAGGAATGACTAAATGGCCGGCCTATATGGGCGGCAGCAGGCCGAAATCGAACAAATTCATGGACTATAGTCCATGCCGAGAGAAAATGAACTAAGACAAGGAATCTCTAGTATTCATGCTTGTAATCATCATAGGCACTGTGTGATGCTATTTTTATGATCACATTTGCCGTAGTTTTTTTTTTTTTTTTTTTTTTTTTTCCCTGCCCGCGCACTACTGCGCGAACCTTACGCTGTCTGGGCGTGCAGAAAGACAAACGACAAAATAAATGATTCTAAAAATAGCATAATTAGAATTGCACGAAAGAGTGCTCATGATGGGGCGCAGGGATTCCTTCTCTTAGTTCATATTCCCTTGTCCATCATACTTTTTATCAAAAAATGGTCGAAAATGACCTATTTTGCATAATTCTCCCATTGCCCACACCTTTCCATTCCCCAAGGAATTGTGTACTACGACTGGACCGACTTTTGCGAGGAAAACAAAAAACCTTATTTGTCCATTAAGTTTATTTTTATCTCTTTTATTCATGTGTTGTGTATTTTTAATTTTCCTTGACAAAAAACATTACATAACATTTCGATTTTGAAAAAGGTCCTTTCACTGGATGTGAAATAATCATGGTCTAATGGAGTTCACATCCAGTAAAAGGACTTTTGAAGCTGCTACTGAATCATATTCCTACATTAAATTTCTTTTTGTCTAAAAAGAAAACGAAAGGAAATCTTTAAATTTCATTTCTTCGTTTTTCTTTTTTCATTATCGAAAAGTTAAAGATATTAAATAAAATAGATTAAAAAACAAAACAAAACATAAAAAGATATAACTAGCTAAAAACTAGTGTGAGCTGCGTCGGTGTTTCTAATGAAACAAAGTCAAAGGACTCCGACGAAGGACTAGCGTCCGAAACGTCAGTAAGTTTTTTCATCTTTTCACGGTGTATAATTTACCTTTTCATCATTACTGAAAACAAAACATAATGGACGAATATAGTTTCGCCGGATGATTATAAACTTCAAAGGACCTTTCACTGGATGTGAACTTGTTGCAAGCCAAAACCATTGAGGCATTTATTTGAGAATGTNAACACATATTATATCTGAAAACCAGGCCATTTTAGATTAAACTGTTTCGCTAGGAGCAAATTTTGTTGAATTTTCTATTGGATTTGGCGATTAAAACAGTGCATAAACAAGCAATGACGTCATAGTGAACTAGGGCAATTTCTCCTTATAGAATTTACTGAAGTGTGGATGCCGAGGAAACAATCTGTGCGGAGACTAGATAATTTTTTATTTTTACTTCAATAAATATGTTGTATAGATTTTCTTTTAAATAATAGAAAGCAATGGATCTCTGAAAATATATTTGGCCTAATAGTGATTATTTTTATTAGTAATAACCAAAAACGCGCTGTCAGCGAAAACTAAAATAACTTACCGTTTCCTTTGACCACTGCCAGTTCGTGATATCTTGTCCTTGTTTAAGACAATCCAATACAGGAAGGAATCAAGCGGTCGACTATAGTGAGGTTCTGTCTCCAATGGATCGAAACCAGCTGTCAGATCACTGCCGTATTTGCTATTGTAGTTAGGAATCAAACTACGCAGTTCTCTTTTGTCGTTGTTGTAGAAGTTTCCTTGAGCATCGATCGAATATGATCCTTTTGGATCAGACCACGAAAAATCGGTGTTCAATTTATTTTTTCCGTACCTTTCAGGCGGATTTACTTTACGGAAGTATTTTTGGTTGTGATTTCCCGCAGCCATGGTATATTTCCGGTTACTTAAGACAAGAGTTCTACCAACTAAATATTTCCCGGAACAACTCAAGCTGTGATTCTTGAAACTGAAACTGAAACTGAAACTGATTCTACGAAACTACGTAGCTGAGACTACGAAAAGTTCTACGCACTTTAAGTCTTCTGTCAAGGGATGATATAGCTAGGGCATGGAAAATTCTTACTATCCAAAAGTCGTACCGTGGTTGGTTATTCTATTATTTTTTTTCTTTAGTTATTAATATAAAATCCGCAGTCGACCTTCTCCCAGACACGAATGATGTGAAATAGTCACATGGAGTTAACATCCAGTGAAAGGACCTTTTTCAAATTCGAAATGTAATATAATAATTTTGGTCAAGGCAAATTAAAAATACACGACAAATGAAAGAAATATAAATAAACTTAATGGACAAATAAGGTTTTTTGTTTTCCTCGCAAAAGTCGGTCCAGTCGTAGTACACAATTCCTTGGGGAATGGAAAGGTGTGGGCAATAGGAGAATGCGAAATAGGTCATTTTCGACCATTTGTTTGATAAGAAGTATCATGTACTTGGATCTTATTAACCGAGCGGGAGGTCTGTACGGGATAATCTTGACCGAGTTCGGAATGTACAGACCGAGCGCACCTGATACGGCGCTTCAGTGAAAGGACCTTTGAAGCTCCTAATCAATTTTTAAACTATATTTGTCGATTATAATTTCTTTATTTGTTTTATTTCTTTACACTTGTTTTGTTTAAAATCAATTTTATTTTTCTGTTACGCTTCGTATTCTGCGTTGACCAAAACCTATAACTTTTGGATACGAAAAAGGTCCTTTCAAATGGATGTAAAATAGTCATGGTCTAATGGAGTTCACATCCAGTAAAGGGGCCTTTGAAGCTGCTAATCATTTCCTACTGAATCATGTTCCTACATTAAATTTCTTTTTGTCTAAAAAGAAAACGAAAGGAAATCTTTATGTGAACTTGTTGCAAGCCAAAACCATTGAGGCATTTATTTGAGAATGTGTAAATAGGCCAGTCTACAGACATACTCAAATCATTTTTAACTCACAAGATGAACTGCTTTCTCAGCCGAATCAGAACAATTGTATATAACTGAGGGGTTTTACTCCCTGTGGTATATTGACCTTTGTTGCGCCACAGGCAGTCCTTACATAAATTGAATAGTCTATGATAAACACATACATCATATATAGACATATGTATTGAGCATACACATAAATTATTACTCGCCTTTTCTATATTTCCACTTGAATAGCATTGATACGCGGTGATACCGTACAGAATAACCATCCGTTTTGGAGAAAAAAGCTTACGTTTTACCCTTTACGATATTTATGGTAACTGCACAACTGCTCTCTTTTTCTATTTCAGCATGTGAATCTGGTGTGCCTACAAGTGAGGGGGTTTCGATCGTCTTTTTGATCTATTTCTTGATAAAGATGAATAGCAAAATAAGTAAAATGAATTTACAGATTCTCTTAACTGCTTTCCTCTCAAAAAAGTTGTTTTTCATTAATTTCTAAAAATAACTGCACCAATGGAGTTCTTAAAGTAATATTACATTTTTTGCATCGATTTTAAGTTAAAATACTAAAGTATTTTATGTCTCGATCCGACACTCCACCTAAAAAGAGTCCAATCCAAATGATTAGATCCAGATTCTGATTTTCCACAATTTTGGAATTTTAAGCTAAATCTACCAAATTCTTAAAGAGCAACTGAAATAGGTATCAATGGTGTGATCTGTTTTAGTTTTGTCGTAAAAAAAGTCAACGTTATATACGAGCATCAAATTTATCAGACTGTAAGCCACTTGTATAAGCCATTACTCACACCTTCCACTCCCCCAACGAATTGGGTACAACTGGACGTTTACTAACAAAAACCTAAACAATATTCGTCCATTATTATATTCGTTCGAATTTAACTGATCGACATCCAGTTTGCGATCTAAACTTTAAAGTTGTGGCGCGTATCCATATCCAAACACGGCCTAATTGAAAAAAAACGTCATCGCCAAAGGCGATAGGCGATAGGTCAATCCGACATGGAAATGGTTTCGTTGAATACAAAGAACATCGAATCAGTCTCAGCACTAAGGTCCATACTCTTGACGAGRRTAAGAAGCAGAAACACAAGTCCTTCCAGCTAGTCTTGGATCTTGGAATGACATATATCCTATCGCTTTTCGCCTATTGCCTATCGCCTTTGGCGATGACAACGTTTTTGAATTAGGTGTATACACGAAGTCGTGAACTCGCAACCGTGTTGCGACACAAGGTGCAAGAGTTTTTACACGGTGCAACTGAGACACTATCGTTGCGAAGACTGCAAAAGTAGAAACGAATTAACTTTTTTCTATCATTTAAAAGGACGAGATAAAAAAGTTTGTCATATGGTATATATTTTCTCTTCACCTTTATATCTTTCACTTTTTTCTCTGTCTTTCTTTGGCCGAACTTGTTTATAGTTTTCTTGGTTGGATTCTCTATTTGGCGATTAGGCCTTCGTCGAACTAACCAGCTTTGGAAACTTCCCTACATATAGCTACCGTGAAACGCTTGAAAAAACTGAACTGGGAAGATATTATTTTTTTGGATCAACTTATATTGCTGTTTCTCAATCAGCTGATAAAAGTTATTGCATCTCATTATCTGCTTAAAGGTTGTTAAAACAGTGAGCATTATGTGCTGTGAACCAGAAAGAATTCTTTTGAAAACTTGTAAATCAGCTGATAACATTTCGTCAACACAGGAAATGTCGTGAAACTTTCAGCTGCAAGGAGTTACAAGACAAGATTGCATTCCAGCATGACTTCTCACTTATAGCTACATTSTAAACCAATCAAAATACAGTATTCCACGTGCACCATACATGGTACCATTATAATTGGAGGAAATGGGATGATTGACAGAAAAATATCAGGTGATCAAGGGTTTGATAACCTTCGCTTGCCTTTRCATTCATTCTATTCACAGAACGAGCTCAGATAGAAAAGTTGGGTGAAAAAARGTAAGTTTGCGAGTAAAAACCTTCCAGTTGAGAACATTTACGAACATTTAGTGAATAGTAAGCTCAAAAACTAAAATTCTAGGAGGAATATATGTTATAATTTTACCTAAAGATTTTTAACGTTCATCTCTAAATATGTATGGAATTGCAACGCAAAGTCGTTTACAAACCTGTKAAAGTTCATGCCACTTGACTTGAATTGTGTAGTTATGAACTTCTGTCTAGGTATAATATATCAGAAGCGTTATACTCTTGTAGTTCTCGAAAATAAATTGTTCAGGTTACTGAAATATTCTTTTAGGGTGGAAAATTCGTTGTTAATCATAGGCAGAAAGTAGTACTAAATGTTTTGATAACATCGTTCTAAGAACGATTATTATTTCTGATTTTTTACTGCTTAAGGAAACTTGTCCTATCATACATGGACTATATTGCGGCTGTAAGAGGCCCTTAGCTCTATCAGGGCTTCAGTTCGAACCCGTTGAGCTGTGGCACTGTTGTACTTGCRGTAGTGAACAGATAACCGAAGTTTYTRTCTCCWSTATTTGAACCACCGTAACAYAAACACGTTTTCTCTCTCATTTCCAGGTACATGGCCTCAAGCAAGATCCATGAAAGTGTAGCTTGGTCTGGTCAACTACTGAACAGAGTAATTCATATTAACACACGATCCTTGAGCAAGTTCTAAAAMTTGTTTYCCAAAAACCATTTCATTGTTGGCACCGCTTTTGGTTTGAATTTATCTTTCACGCTTTACTTGCTCGAGTTATCARTGTCTTGTTTAATATTAAGGGGTTGTTTGGTTGTTCCTAAATCGAATATGGAACAATAAGAAATAATTGACCTGCAATGAGCATTTCTAAAATATATCATTTACAATTTGGTTCTGCGTCTATTGCAAGTCAAAATAACACTAGCTTAGGTCTAGGATTAGAGGAGCTTTGAGCATGCAAAGCACTAACAGATGTATAGGAGAAGCTACCACGTTTAAATGTAGGTGGGTTTAGTGTTTTTGACTGGCATTTGCCAGGGTCAATTGGCCAAATCTAGGGTTAGTTTTTCCAATTGGCAACGCTGGACATCACTGGAGACGAGCTGGAGATGACCTGGATCAACAAATCTAATAAAATGCGTCTTGCTTGATTTAAAATGGAGGATTTGTTATTTGTTTTTTATGCAATGCTGTCCGGTTTTGGTTTTTTTTTTTTACTCACACACAAACTTAAACTGCGCCTAGGGTTTTAGTTCGGTCTTTCGGTTCTAAGGTTAGCGCCGGCCATGTATTACAGTGACACGAGTGAACGGTCACTTTTTCTCTCCACGATAGCGAGGGGGAAAGTTACTGGTTGCTTGGTTACCTGCAACATCAATAACTTTGGCACAGTCAAGGTTTGACCATGACCTTGTTTTTGGCTTCCCTTTTCTCGGCTCTGGACTCACGAACGGAAAAGGGGCGGTCTTGGATTATAGTAAATAGTAAATTAGACGTACCATTCTAAATTTATGATTGAAATTGCAAACAGTTTGGCATAGAATTGGGATATTCTTTCTTTCTTTCTTTCTTTCTTTCTTTCTTTCTTTCTTTCTT